TCTCTCTCTCTCTCTCTCTCTCTCTCTCTCTCTCTCTCTCTCTCTCTGTGTGTGTGTGTGTGTACTTTGAGAATAATTTGAAATAATGAGTAATATAATTGAACAAATGTGCATCGTATGCGATATACATTCGCTCGAATAAATTGAAATGGGAATAATAGATTTTTATCAGAATACTCGCTTACCTTGCCAAGAGCCATCAGTGATAGGTCTGCCATCGTGACGATACCATACAACATCTGGTTTAGGTTGACCGGTAGCATCACAAATTAATCGAAGAAATTTATCCTCAACGATCACAATCGGTTTGTTTGAACCGCCTAAATGTTTAATATTGCAACGGAAAAATAAAAAAAAAATTGATATAAAATTCAAATTCCATAATCAAAGTATATATTGAAGTATCGACGACATCAGCATCAACCGCTTTACTTTAAAGTATTCGTCAGCATTGAATAATATCTACATAATTAATCATGGCTCGAAAAGAGCGAGCGATTGCAACTGATGGAGATTATATCATATGAAAAGGGAAAATATTTGATTCCATTTTGCCGTTATAAATCAAAGACCATAATGATATGTATGAGTCATTCGATCACGTTTTAAACATAAAATTCAAAAGATCTTCACTTCGGAGCCATTTCAAGTACTTCATTGTTATATCTATAATAATGCGAACACATTATGTACCCTTAAGTAATATTGAATAATATTTCACAGCCAGAACATATGTAGACTTGATGCTGATGTTACCATTATTTTTTTTCTCTCGACGCCATACATTTCAAACATCTTAAAATGAAGCAGCGTCGGCAAAATTTAAATCAAAGTATACATAGCAATCGTTTAAGCATCGAACAGAACATGTACTACATATTGAATATTTTTTTCTTAAAAAGTACATTTTTAACAAGTTTCTTTTTTTTTTTCGCATGCAGTTGGCAAAAATGCAGATATTGCTCTATATTTTTAAGATAAGAAAATTCCATTTATCGAGTAGTTTTATGGTACTTGCCTGCAATTGATGGTGGAATTAGTAGTTTTCCGACTTCCGTTGGTGGGATGTGCAATTTATCCGCGTCCAATCCATACTTGTATGCAACGATTCCCGGGAGGCCAGGAACTGTAAGAAATTAAAAAAAAAACAAAGATATTCAGTACAAATTTCAACAGAATTTAAATTATTCTCATCATAAATCGCATGTTCGTATATGTTTTTGTGTTTAAAATCAATAAATGTCTCAAATTTATGATAATGAGCAAGACATGGATATAAAACGTAGTCAATGTAAAATAAAATGTACACTTACTTCCATTTTGACCGGGTCGTCCGCTGCGTCCTGTTTGCAAGCATAGCCGAGATATAAGATTACAACAAAAGAATACAAAACAAAATACGGTCAGATCAGAATTTTAATAAAATTCACCGGATATAGTCATAATGAACGGTTTATGCGATGCAACGCATAATTATTATATGTGTATAGCATTATATTGGGTGTAATTATTTGCGTGAGCTTTTGATTTTGACCGTATTGTAAGCAAAGTGTACAATGTACATACCTCTCGGTCCAGTTAAACCTGCAACGATATCATGGAATTTTATCAAAACATGGCATGGAATGAATGTTGTACATAATTGCAAAAGGATAAGATGAAAAATAAAATAACATAACACCAAAATATCCAATAAGCATCACCGCCGCCGCCGCCGCCACCACCGTCCATCGGGTGGAAAAGAAAAAGCGAGATAGAAAATGTGCAAGAATGAAATGTGAAACATAAGAGCACAAAATGATGGAATTTAATTTAAATTATACGAGTTTCGAGACTAAAATGACTAAATAAGAAAAACCGTTGAAAAACCGTGCAGCTAATCCAATTAATCCATTTAGTTTATTTATGTATGAAAATAGATGATATTACACGAATTACTTTGTATGGTGAATGCAACAGTAGTCTAGTATCATTGGGCGATGACCGTTAAAGAATGGGCCAGTTGGCTTTCCAATTGAGGTAAGTATGGTCGTCGTTGACATCGTCGACGACAACTTCTTTCTTCTTTCATTCATCGACCCCTTTTTTATGTGTATGTGTGTTGCTTAATGTGATCAAGAGCACATCGCCCATTTCTGTATTAAATTAGATGTCCGAAGAGAGCGCATCAACTGCACTTTTCATTTAACTCTTGCACAATTTTGTGTGTTAATTCGTTTTTATTCGCAACGCTTTTCAATTCTGTTTGGCTAATATAAAAAGGTATTTCAACTGGTCGGTTGGAAAGCTTAAATGCGATGTCATAATTACAACTTGAACATTGGAAATAAATTTCGAAAAACTGGTGATTTTCAGCCAAAAGGAAGATTATAAAGATTTTCCTTTCATTATGCTAGTACAATGTATATACTGATGAAGGAACCGCACGAACCAAATGTGAATGCGATCAATACCTTTTGGAAAGATAAAAAAACAATTCATAAAATCAGGCGCCGGCAATGAATAAGCGGAAGAAAAAAGTGTTCAAGCAACTGGCTGCTGCATCATCATTTGGCATCATTTCGATACAGACCGGCCGACATTGATATATCACTTTGAATAATTCGTGTATACAGTTAATTATAGCATTTACGCGTTAAGTCAAACCGTGATGATGTACTGCTATACCCACATGCAACACTGTTCTGTTGCCCGTGCTCGTTTGATGCTGGTTTATATTTGATTCGCGTAAATATTTGCATACAAACACATACATATTATAAATAGCAACTGAGCGGCGCGATGTAAATCCATTAATTCAAATTGATTTTGAATTTTTCAACTTTGTACGTTTTGTGCTTAACAATTCATCGTGACTAGTTAAATGGTCATTTTTCAATCAATAAATCAATGAATTAAATATCAAAAACGTAGGAGGAGAGGACGGCATGAATGAATTTGCTGTAAACCATTTGGCGATGGGAATATTGTGAATTGATGAAGAGCAACCAGCGTGTGCACACACATCGTACAGGCCGCAGTATCCAAAATAAACACACAAACTGTGAATCCATTGACTGTGAACACGCGTTCATTTCCCGAAATGCAGCGCAACAATAGTCACAGCAGTGTTCCTGTGCTGTGAAACATTCGGCAATTATATTTAAACCATAATTCATGACAGAGCCGGATAAATGTAAATTAAACGGATAGCATGAGATATATATAATTATACAGGGTGGCGCATTTAATCGGGTTTTCCAGGGGGGTGGGAATTTTGAAAAACCCTTTGAGGGGTATGTTGGAGGTAAAAAATAGAAAATTTCTATCGGAGCAGAATTTTGAATTTTTCCCCAGGGGGGGTGGGGGTGCCCCCAATTTTGCAAAACTTCATCGGATCAAAAACTAATGTACTACAAAATTGTTCAGAATGACGAAAGAAATTTTTTAGGACCCCTGCCCTCCAAGTCCCCCCACCCCTTAAGGGGGTCGGGGGGTCAAAAACCCCCAAGATGTGATTTTTTTGACCTGAAACCCAAAAATTCGGAATCAGCATGAAAAATTACCTTAGAATCGATATTTTTCTCATCCACGTTTTTTCACAAATTTTGGACCAAAAAAGTGTAAAATCGACTTTGTAGATTGAGGGGTCGATTTTACACTTTTTTGGTACAAAATTTGTGAAAAAACGTAGATGAGAAAAATATCGATTCTAAGGTAATTTTTCATGCTGATTCTGAATTTTTGGGTTTCAGGTCAAAAAAATCACATCTTGGGGGTTTTTGACCCCCCGACCCCCTTAAGGGGTGGGGAGACTTGGAGGGCAGAGGTCCTAAAAAATTTCTCTCGTCATTCTGAACAATTTTGTAGTACTTTATTTTTTGATCCGATGAAGTTTTGCAAAATTGGGGGCACCCCCACCCCCCCCTGGGGAAAAATTCAAAATTCTGCTCCGATAGAAATTTTCTATTTTTTACCCCCAACATACCCCTCAAAGGGTTTTTCAAAATTCCCACCCCCCTGGAAAACCCGATTAAATGCGCCACCCTGTATATAATTATATATAGTCTCCTTCGAATTAAAATGGTGGGTGAAAAACCAAAAATTCCATTACGTTTTGAATGTGTGCGCTATTCTCGTGTGCCAGTACCGTGCAAAATTTGCCGTGCACATTGTGAACAATTGTAAACATTCATTAATTTATGATATTCGTTTCGTGTCGACTATTAATTTTGCAATTGGCCGCAAATAGTGTTTGACACACGAGCGATATCGTATCAACAAAACGAACTAGTCAGCAACTCTTATAAATCGAAATTGTTTTGTATATGTAGAATTTTTGAGCTAGTCCCCTGGCGAACTGAATACGAATAAATAAAATGTTTACTATTAGTTTGCATGGAATCCGATGCATTTAACGAAGACGCTTCATAAATTATTCCTTTAAATGAATTGTTGACAATGCAAATGAAGCTGGAGATGTGAAAAGGAAATGTGTGTGTTTCTCTGTGCGCATTGAATACTAGATGGAACATAAATATTTTTTTTTTTTCATATTATGTTGTTTTCACATTTTTTCTGTGCTGAATAAAAATCGGTTCGTTTTGTTTTTGGGAAGAATGAGGGGGAGAAAGATATTTGACTTAAAATTGTCGATGATGCAACAAACATAAACATTTACTTTTGCGATTGTTTATAGGAGATGCATTTATGAACGTATTGTATTTTTACGCCGTCCAAATCGGTCCAAATCAAATTTTAAGTAATAAATGAATGCGTTGAGCGCATTTCAAAATGAGCCGAAGAAAGCATCATAGATTTTACACAATTAATGTGGGCTTTTATGTTTTGCATGTGCTTTTGCAATGGATGTGAAATTGAGTCGCAGCGCAACGTAATTGCATTGGTTGCTTGTTTACGTATTATCGTTTAAATATTGTGTATTTTACTGTACATTTTGTGAATGAGGGAAGGAAATTCACAGTGCAAACAGTCGGCCATCGACCAGATTTTGCAAAGCATTTACATTTGCACAAATAAACATTGTGCACAGAATTTAAATCCCATTTTCGTCGCTGACATTTTTTTTGTCAATGCTGTTGTTGTTTTTTCTCTCTGTCCACACTCTCAGTCACTCCCTATCTTTGTATTAAATTGTATTGGGTGCACTGTGAAAATACTTTGCAACCCGCCAACATTGGGATTTAAGCAGAAGCATAACACAATATGGAAATATATACTACCTGCGACATTTAAGCGCACCAAAGCGATTATTTCGATTATTATTGTGTTGGCTTAAGCTAAAATGTATTCCAAAGTGGTGCTGGTATTTTTTCCATTTCTTGCTCGCCATTTCTCTTTGCTCTGTATATATCCAAAATGACTGTTAAAGCTTTGGCGCTACTTTTTTGGGGGAAAATTTATTGTCTACTAAAAATACTTGTTGGTTTTATTTTTATTCGTTCAATTTACATTGTATCACCGCAATAATGCTGCACTCTCGTCCAACAACAATTTCTCTCTCGTAAACAAAAATCGGCAAAATACTTTTTGAGTTTTCGGCAATCAACCCGGCCAAATTTTAATTCGTTTCGCATAGAATTGGTGTAAAAAGGTGTTTTTGTGTTTTTTTTATTTATTTGTTCGTTTCGTTCGGCATTCGAATATTTTGTATTTTCGATGTCTGGCCAAATACTGAGCCATTATTGAGCCATTTTTTCTTGTTATTTCCAATTTACAGTTCATTCGAAAATCGTGAATATAATCGAACAATACGTTTTAATACGATGGCAAAGCCGTTATGATTCGGCTGATGCCACTGCCGTCGCCGTCGCCACTGCTATTGTTGATGCTGCTGCAGGTGGATTGTCTGATGGCAAAATTATCGTTTGATATCAGAACGAGGCTCATGCGCATCATTCATCAATGTCAATTTAATTATGAGTCGTGGAAATTCATCCGTTAAATAGAGCTTTAAGTCATTTCGAAAACCCTTCATCATTCTCACTTTGCACTCGAAAATTCAACATTCTATCTCACATCGCTTTCTGACAGTTAATCGACAAGAGCATTTGCCATTTCTCATGCAAAATTAAAAACTCTCAATCTCTCTTCTCTCGATGGCTCCATTTCTCTCCGTTTTCATCTTTATGTTCTGTCGAAAGGTATATTATAAAAATGTTCGCCCCATTGAAATATATATATCGCTTATAAAGTCATTAACTATTTATATCAATATGCATTTTATAATGCAAATTGAACGGGACTTTTATTGTCATAATGCCAACAGATTTATTAGTTAATCCGACTTAAAATTTATATGACATTATATCAATACAATTCGCATGCAATTCATTTAAGATGAAAATGGAACGAGTAAAGTAGTGCGGATGAAAAAACGATGGATAAAAATGCAACTTTCTGTCTCATGCTGATGAAAACAAAGCGAATATTCATGAAAAAGTTTCTCGAATCAATGTTTTACATAGTTTTAATTCATGTAAACGAACTTTTGAAGACATACACGCAAAAAAAGGATAGACGATTGAAATCCATACCCCAGAGAAAAGTGCGACAAAAATAAATTTAAATCAATTCAAGAAACATTTTTATCATGCGCTTTGATGGTATAACAAATATATTTTCTGTATAAATCTCAGAATTTCATTTATTTTCTATGTTCATTTGTTCACTGTCTGTGTGAACAGTTGCTTGAGTTGAATGAGCAACAGAGCAAAACAAAATCTGTATCAAAACCGAGGATCGTATTTATAGTTATGACAAATAAATACATACGATTATAGTATCAATAGATATTGTTTTGCTAAGCACAAGCGAGTAAGCAGTGCACATAACATATATTCCTTGTGTCAATTGTCTTTGGATGCGCATCACATTTCAAGACAATATGTTCTGCTACTCAGTCGAACAATAGAAAATGTTCAATAAAAACTTCTTGAAGTTTGTAGTGTAGCACAAGAATATGAGGAGCAAGAAAATGGTGCACCGAGAAAAAGTACGAACAGAACATTATTGCATTTGTGTCGGATACATACAATATGACAATGTGGATGAAGAATATCGAACACAGAATGCCTTGTAATGCAATGTTGCAACACAATAAAGAATCGACGGGAAAATAGACACTGACATTTGCCTCGCAGGAGAGAGAGAGAGAGAGAAATGTTTGAACATATTGACAAATCTGCACACATTCATTCTAAACTTTTTTTTCCTCGCAGCAGTTCACATGTACAATATATACGGTACTTGTAATATTATACACCCGAAACACAGTACCGAACATGTTGTTATCGTGTAATCATTCAAACGATTTTCATTGCGGTGTATTCCATACATATATTTATCCTTGATATAAAAAGCAAATAAATTTTGTTCAAGGATAACAATACACGATCGTTCATGACAAAGCGGCGAGAAAAAAAAGAAGAAGAAAAATGAGTTGCATACAAGAGAACTTAAGAAGGCTTAACTTGTAAAATGGCCAGAAAACACGTTCAGCTCTTGCCTGCCCGAATTTTTATTCTTTAAATGTTATAAATAAATCCCAAACGACGGAAGAGAATATGTGAGATGCATATTGTGTATCCGAGATTCTAATTCAAATGTACTGCTGCATTACGGTATTTGTATGTGTGTTATTGTTCATACCGTTTGCAGTATGTCTATTGCGACGCGAGAATACGCCATGTGTATTCAAATTCTTTTATTTTAACGTGTTACAGAGAGAAAAAAAACTGCTCGATTCAGATTGTGCTTTGCTGGGCTTATTTTTTTTATAAAATTTTGCTAACCAGTCATGATTCCCTGTGGACTTGATGGCATCTCAATGGGGCGCGTTTTCTTTTTCTGTTGTTTGGTTACTGATTCCTTTGATTCACTTGTTTCATGTTTAATGGTGGTTGAGTTTTTAAGCATACATTCAAAATTAATCGTGTAACACGGTCACTTACTGGTTAGATGGTTTAATGCATTTTAATGTCGGCACTAAACATTATTACACTTAAGTACATTAAATCTTGAAATTGGAATTTTTCGTGTAAAAACCAAGGGAACTAGAGAAAAAAAAGAGAAGACATTCTGTTGATGTCAGCGCTTTTGTACAAATTTCGTTTTCGATCCTTTTTTGCATGTGGCATTGGGCTCAGTTTGTTTCATGGCAATATTTCGAATCTGGATTTATTTTCACTCGTTTTTTTTTTCCTTATTGTTTTCTACCTTACTCTTTCGATCGCCATTTCAATGTGATTCGATTGAATCACGTTCATGACGAGCAAGCATATGTGTGGGCCTTCGTATCGCAGACATACTGACAGAAAAAAGTAGGCAATTTTTACGAATGCCCAAGCACATTGACGAGTACACTGAATTTATTGCGAATTACAAGTTTGGTTAGTGGCATGTTTTCGTAAAGCCCGGTGAATACGATGATCTTTTGTCATGTTTATTTTATAGCAACGAACATAAAATAAGCTTGACTTTCCGATGTAATTCTGTTTATTTATATATGTTTTTTTTTCCTGGTTTTGTTTGCAAATCGTATCGTTTGTTGCCAATGATACACACAACATTTATCCTGTATCTTCGCTCTTTATTTTTCGTCCCTCCGTATAACGTGCACCCATTGGCAACCAAAGTCATCGTCTTTTATGTGCGCGGGTGTAAATGATTGCAATGTATATTTACAAATGGAAAACAAATCGGTTAAATCGAAAATCAATATTGCGTATACATCGAATTAGCCATGTGACCAATATAATTTCAACGTGATTGATTCACATCTAGTGTCTACAGACACATTTATTGTATACTATATCGGAAAACATTCGAATGAACACTTGCAAATATATGAAGAAAATCGACGCATTTCGTTGTCCATATTTGTTACGATGTGAGGGAGTGAAGACATTAAGTATTTATCGAAGAAAAACCAATTGTAATCTCTTTTACACAAACATTGAGCAATTCAAATAAATAGACACACTGTCGGCACCGCCGATACAGTCAGTTCGTTACCGATTATGCTCTTGGGTTAATTAATGTTTTCGAAATAATGAAGTACACGCGTTCAAATAACATCAATAAAAAAAAGTAACCCGAAAAAAATGCCGCAATAAAATCTACCGATTTCATCAGCTTTTCATCCTTTGCGCTCGTATGTCTGTGTGTATCTATAAAATTCCAATTCAGCAAATCAAATTCCGATTGCACATTTAAAGTCAATTAAAAATACAGATATTATGTTGAATTTATGCACGAGTAGCTTGTGCTGACCCAGCACCATCATAACGTTTTGCACATGCTGTATTCACGTTGTTTTCAGTTTTGTTCTCGAATTTATTCCGAACGAAAGCATCAAAGGCAGCCAACACTGTACATTTTACATGCTGACTCTGAATTCTTTTGACAACCCCAGTGCCTTGTGCGTGTATTTGTTATTTGCATGGAAATTATGTTAAAATTTATTCGCCGAATAAAACAAGTTGAAATTAGGTTCGTGCCTTGTTCAATTTGGTAACTCTATGTCAAGTAAATATTCTAATAAGCATAATAAATAAAATGACCATCATACATGCGTACGGTTGGGAGAGTCCATCTGCCCATCAAAGTACCCTAATTCTTGGGAGTACTTTGAAGATTTAAGGAGATTATCAGAGTTTACTCGGCCCCTGTGCCTAAATATGATGAACATCGAAATATTTCCTCCTCAACAATAACCTTTTTGTTTACGCCTTTCGCTTATTTCAACAAGCTAATGATGATAATAATTGTATTTGCAAGGATTACACACAGCACATTTTTTTTTGCTTTCTCTTTTACTTTCTCATTACCTTACCCCAGTTTCAATGTTGTATGCTGTTGATTTTAAATTAGCCGTAATTTTCGTACTTATTTCAATTGCCCTGAACCTATCACCTTTCATCCATTTTATTGCCTCTAAAAATTTCGCGTTGAATCGCTATTAATAGGATGCTAGATAAAAATTTCAATAATATGCAAGCTAATAATGCATTTTACAAGTGAGCAGCGATGCGCTCGTACTAATCGGCGCTAAGAAATGCATTTGTAATAAACAAACAAACATTTATCATGTTTATGTAATGTATTGTGCGATATTTTGGTGTCGTTGGAATGATTATTATGTAGCAATTTAGTAAAGATTATAACTTACCGCGTTCACCAACTGTACCGGGTGGCCCCTGGGGTCCAGGCAATCCTTCCTTACCTAAAAAAGAAGAATACACCACATCATTATCGTAAACAAGTAATAAAGTTAAAAGAAACAACAAAAGTTTTTAATGAATTTATATGAATTATGATGGAACATTTTTTTCCCTCTTGGTTCTTTCCATTGAGATTAAATCCTAGCCATTCTTAAAGTTGAATAAATTCCAAAAGAACAATAACACAACCAGTCATTGTATTGCTGAAATTGCACAAATGATCGGCTTCATGTTTGTATCACAGTATATGCATTCAAAACGCAATAACAAAACACAACAATATGACCGGCGCATTTCTGTTCTCTCTATCAAAATGTGAATGGTCGATGGATTATCCGCCTTTACCGCCTGTATTGTGACACATACGTCACAAGAAATTTCACAGATAATAGAAATGAAAATATTCAACATTCCATTTTTCTTCTACGCTGTCGTTTGTTTTGTAAATGCATTAGCATGTGTTGGGTTCATTCCAAATGTCATTTACATTTTGATGAGATTCTTTTCACAGTCACTCAAAATCGTAAAACAAAAACGGATCGAAATGAAGGAGAGACGCAGAGATGGAGATGCAGACAGGCACAGGCAAATAGAAAGATAAAATAAAAAAAAACGATCGAAGAGCCAACGTAAATCCAAAATACATTCTCTCTTGCTGAAGAGATAAAACTGCTGTGTGTCAATATTACTTCACAAATACTTGAAAATTTAATAAATTCGTTTGTGTTTTATACTCATCGACGCGGTGTATGTGTTAATTCTTCGGGTCACCGTATTGCATTATCCGATAATCTTTTACACTTTGAGAAAAAAAGGGATTTCGAAACAATGGTGGCGTGGTACACAAGTGATAGAAGATGCTTTGTTGCGTTTGTGTCACACCGAATGTTTTATGACCAAAGGCCCAGAAATACCTTTTTTAAATCGGACACGTATCACATCGATTGTTCGCCACTAATCCAAGCATCTGGATTTAATTTTACTTTAATTTTTTTATATCGTACTTGTTTTGAAATCATTCTGTTGAGTTTTTTTTTTAACGAATATCTCATCGTTTTTATCGAGATCAAACGCATTGCAGATATTCAACGTGGAAAATGAATTCAAAGTTTTTTTTTCATTTCTGATCCAAAAGTAAAAAAAGAGACACGAATCTCATGTTACGTTTAATTGCTTACGAATCTTTATGTTTCATGATTTTTTTTTGGTTTTTACATAAGCAAGATTTTTCAGCTTTCTTCCAACCGACAACATCGAAACAAATGGAAAAAAATGAGTTTTACGCCAAAAATTGATCCCGGCACGCTGTGATAATATTAACGAAAACTTTGTTAACTTCCGAATAACGGCAAAAAGAATTGTTTTTTGGGGGGAGGAGGAGGAAACATGCTCGAAAAATGTGTGTTTTGAATGACATACGCATATATTCTATTCAACCAAAAAAAGTTTGTCTAGTCGTTGTCAAAACTTCCGATGGTACCAAATAATGATGCGAGAATATTAGAGACCGAACACAAGTAAGAAGAAAACGTGGAGCGAGAAGAAACGGAAGCAAGTATAAAAAAACTTTATCAACACACTGTCATGATATATACGCACGACTTTGCCGCTTGTTAGCGTCTTCATTTGCTAAATGTTCACATTTTTTTTGTTGTTGTTGAGAAATGTAATAATATCGTGACCCAAGATCATTATGCGTATTCGCGGTATAATGTGTATGGGGGAAACGGCCCATCAAAAGCTCTTAAAAGGCTCTTAACAGCGGTAATAACGATATCCGATAAACAATATCGCATCTCACACACACAAAATGCGCTTGATATAAATAGTCTAATGACAATAAATAATTCTTAATTGAATATTGATAATACGCGAACTTTTGTTCTCCATTAGGCGTGAAACATTTTATTTTTATGCCTCGCTTCTGCTGCTGCTGTTGCTGATTTCACCATCATCGTTTCACCCCTGTTATATAAAACCTAATCTAATAAAATAATAATAAATAAATAAATTTCAACATTCGGTCAACGAAGCGAATTGACGACGAAAACAATGTGCTTCTTTCCACACTTTTTTTTGTGTGGAGAAAAATCGGCACGAGCCTATCATTTTATTACAAAATATAGATTCTGTCCACTGCTGTGTTTGTCACCATTTTCGGTCGAAAGAGAAAAAAAAACAAACAAACATTACATCGACAAATTGAGTGAGACACCGCAATGCGAAACACATCACTGAATTAAATCGGCAATATCAATAATAATAAATGCTTCGAAGCGCAGAAGATACGGTCTGATCGATTCGATAACAGTTATATACATTAGACAATTTTCCGTTCCATCCAGTGTAAAACGATAAGATAACATTCCGAAATATATATTCATGATATCCGTACAATCAAAACGAAACCATTTCACTTCACTTGCTCATCCAATTTTAGCATCGGGATACAATTTCCGTGATTCAATTTTAATTACAATTGCATATATGCAATTTCAATTTTGAATTCTAAATTGATGGGATTTGGTTTTACAGGAAAACAACTTTCGTATATGTATAACGTCTATCTCTAACCGGAAAATTTACCATTTAGAAAATGTGTTTTGTGCGTGTGGTTTGCGCGTATGTTCGTTTGTGTTTATATTGAGAAAAGTGCTTCTAATCGAAAAATGGGCCAACCATGTCAAGAGATTCAATGAATTGTTATTGCTTTTTCGGAATTTAATTTATTTATGTGTACGCAGTGCTGATTGTATATACAAAATTCGATAAAACTCAATGTTGTTTTTTTATTCATTGAAATTGTCATATTGAACAAAAGCACACTTACCATCTTTTCCGTCGATGCCATTTATTCCATTTGCACCTGTAACAAAACAAACAGTCAAAATGTTATGCTGAAAACAAGAGGAGCGAATACATGACAGAGGAGAAATTTATAATCACTAATTCAATAACATTCATATTTTTGCAAATTCAAATCAATAAATAACACCATTGGTTTCCTAAAGAACTCAATTCAAATCATTTTCAGCAGAACATTCAATTTTCATATTTGATTTGTTATGGCGAAAACTATTCTCCACACTATATTAGATACACGTTGTGTTTGCACATGATAAATCGAGAATTGTTTCAAACAAAAGCACAATTTTCCACCTGGTATTCCATCTTTTCCCGGTATTCCATCAGCTCCAGCTCTTCCTGAAAAAAGAAATGTACAAATTACAGAATTACATAGAATAAGTTTAATTCCAAATCATTATTATCTAGATTATTTATGGATGAAAATGGAAATTAATTGGAATAATTCGAATTTTGTTTCAATTTTCCCAAACGAGTGTCAATCAAAATAATGGCGAGAGTAAAAATAATTTTTGTTTTCATTTAATGTAATGTGTTAAAAATCGAGTTAAAATAGTAGAAAAAGATAAATAGCACAAACCTGGCACACCATCTAAACCAGGTTCACCCGGAATTCCATCACGACCATCCAAACCTTAAGGTATGATTGTAAATCAAATGTAGTGGCATTTTCTCATTAAATCAATTAATTTAAATTCGTTAACGTTAATTAATAAATGGAAAAAAATGCTCGTTCACGGAAAAGTAAATTACCTGGGCTTCCTGGCATGCTAATGAGTAAATGTCGAAATGAAAAATGTACATAATGAATTTTATCAACACAATCAATATAAATTGAATAGTCATTGTCATACTTACCCTTTGGGACCTCTCGGACCCTACAAAAAAAAACCATTTTCGTACATTATTATATTTTAATATTATAAAAATAATTATATTCGCTTACAATGGGACCTTCCCGACCGGGAGGGCCGGGCATTCCAATATCGCCTCGATAACCTGAAAAGTGATGCATTTTTTTACATTTTAAATGCCGAAAAACTCATTTGGTCTATAAGCTAATTAAAATTCAACAACTTACCTTTGGCACCATGGTGCCCAGGTGAACCGGCTGCAAAATTAAAGTTGTGAATACAAATTGAATATTAAGTAAGTTGGAAAAAAAATAACAATAAAAATATCATTAATATTTACGTGGTCCAGGGGGGCAGTATTCTTTCGTGGCGCTACAAAATCCGGATATCGCTTCATACTAAAAAAAAGCAATAATGAAGAAACAAAATCAACACAATCAAATTAACTGGAGCTTTTTGTTAATTATGTGAGAAATTACAACAAATACAGCATACAAAATCATTTCATAAACTGGATTAATTTTTTCCCTTTCAATTTCGGTTTTATTATTCCTTTTTTTTCGCTTGAATTTTTTTTAATGGTACAATTCCAAAGAACTTGTATTGAAAGCATACATTCCACACAATGTACACATCGTATTCGCATTGATGTGGAGCATCATTTCATTTGCGTGTATTGTTTTTATTGTCCTTCATTTAATTATACTTATCGCTATAAATTTTTAAGCCAGAATGTATTCGGAGAGTTTCTACAATGGTGGTGGCGACAAACGTTTCAATTAAAACGAAAACACAATTTTTACCTCACGCTCTTATACAAAATGAAAAAAAAAATACACATAAGTGTACGGAAAAATGTGCCAATATCATTAATTGCATTCAACATCATAAAAATTTATCGATTTTCGTGTTGTAGTACATTGTTGCCGCGTGTTGTTGTTCTTTAATGAGTCTCGATTGTGATAAAAAATAAAAACAACATAAATTAGATCAAACAATAAAAGTCATCGGCACACAGAAATTTGTCGATTTAACTTTTCTCTTGTCACACAAAATTTCATAACGACTAGCGTGGTTTAAACGATTTTTGTATGATACATGAATTTGATGAATAATCACAGTGAAAAGAATTGCTTAAAATGCTAAAATATAAATATGGTTTCCATTTTGTTCCGGAGTATTCAAATTGAAATTTATTTCAATTAAGATATAATACCCTCGAGGTCACACCAGTTTGTTTACTTGCAAAAATAAAACTTTACACTGGCATTAATGAAAACATTTATGTGATGCCATCTAAGCATTTGGTGATATGCTGAGTGCAAGTGGTTATGCTCTGATGAGCTAAGTTTGATATGCGAATCCAGACGTTGGATTAGCTCTTTTTGCTGCCTAAGGTACAATTCAGAATAACAACCATACGTATGTTGTGCACTGACCCCCCCCCTCCCCTCCGTATTTATATATTAGTTATTGAAAAGTCAAGTGGAAAAACTTTGCTATTTATTTTAGTTGAATGTTCAAGAAGCGTATTAATAATGATATTTCATGCACATCCATGCAATTTGTACTCTTTTTATCGATGAACGGATTTGTATTCGAAATTGGAAACTAGATATATTAAATTTCAGATTGAATAAAACAAATAAGTTAACTAGCGAACTATTTTACTCTAGGAATCATGACAGCATGTAAGATTCATCGAATCAAATCTCTGAAATGAGGTTTATCATTTTCAAAAGTTGGTGTATAATGTTGGTTTCTGGTGAAAATCGGAAGGAAATGTTGCTATAATTACTTGAAAATCTACCATCCTGTATTTAGGGCTTTTGAATAGAATAAGTCTGTTGCGTTGTGTGGTGTGTGTGCATGCGTGTAGTTCAACTGTGTTGGCGGATACAATTTAATGCGAGAACGGTCTATGTGGTGAAATGGGATTTAGTTAGATGAATGCTGTGATGGATATAGATATGTGTACGCAACAAAAACACATTAAAAACACGACCGTGAACGAAGTAAAAAAAAGTGAACACAAGAATGACAACAATTACCACATTCGATGTGTTTTTACACTTTTGCGCAATTCTCCATCCGGTGCGCACACACGCACACACACACCAGCGATATAAAAAGAATAAGCAAACAAAAAAGAGTGAGAATGAGATGATAGAAGAAAAAAAAAGAAGTGGCAAAGAATACATTGGTACTATTTGCACGATTTCGAGACCGAGATAAATGAGCGAACAATGCTTGGCTGCTTCTTTCGCCGGTACACTTTTACAATGTTGTACAAGTGTATGGTACCAATTGGTTTGGTGTGGCAGCATGCACCTATGATGAGTGCAAGACTTCTGGAATGGAGCAGGCAAAAGCCAGAGATTCATTTCAAATGATTGTGCTAATGCCATTTTTATACATTTACTGAACTTTATGTCGCATTACAAACGCCAACCAATTCACATATCTCAACTTCCATTCGTAGATTTTTGGTTTAAATGCGAAGTATGTACATTAAATATAAGTGCAAGAGCTCTTTGCTCATATAGATGTCTTGGCCATGCATGGCATGGACCAGAGAAAATTTTTTAGGAAGATTTCGTTTTCAATTTTCTTAAAATCAGCATCGCGTTTTACATTTCTCACATTCATGTCTAACAACCATAACAGTTAAACAATCAACGGTGTATCATCAACGGTACTGCATTTCATTCACTGTTTATGCTCGACATTTGCATAGATAAAAGAGAAATAGAAACCAACACATATCTTTTACTTGCAAACAGGCAGTCACACACATAGCCCTCGGATGTGAAGTGAACAAAGTGCCAGGGTGCTTTGTATCTCAAACAAACAGTGAATTGGGTTCGTTTGTATGTGTGTGTGTGTGTGTCATATAGATCGGGCGCTCGATGTAGAAAAGTTCATCTACAACCGCTCTTGTTTTGAAAGCTTTTGCATCGTGTTGCACCGATATTGTGTGAGAATACAAAGCAACAAAACATCAACATGCACAGGCACACAGTATACAATAACAAAATGCACGTTGGTTTGCAATGTGTAACCCAACATTGTATTTGACAACAATATATATTATATGCATTCAACATTATACTGTTTTCTGACAAAGTGTGTGTGAGTGTGTTTGTGCTATTGCCTCTTTACTCTCAAGCTGACATCTCATCCTTAACAAATTGCATGCACATTTAGTATTTTCAATTTCGTTTGCCACACACTGTCGATAATCGAAAATTACTCTACACATTTTTCTCCATATTGGTAATTCATTTCATTTCTTCGGTTTCCTTTCCATTTCAGCCCATTCAGCATACATTTAATGAATTGATATCGACGTTAGGACTCCATTATCGTCACTATGTACACCGTTCAACTGTGTAAATTGTCACCGCAATTGCATGCTGTGACTATATGTCCCTTTACCGATTGTTCATTTATTGATGCATCAATCACGCGTTGCACTGTGATTGTGAGTTTGAAAATAAACTGGCTGTAAGTAGAATTGTCAATTCACGAGCGCCATCATCTCAAATAGACTCAATTGAATGTATTTCAACAACTCATTTTGGAACTAATCACCGTGCCAACTTTTGAAATTTGTTGATATAGCCGCCCGATGGAGTCCGAAATGAGTACTTGTACATCAACAAGCGATTCTTTCTTTGTCTATAGATTTTATGTCTTATTTGTCTATCTTTTCTTGTGTCTGCATCAAGTATGATTCATTCTGTACAAACCGTATTGTTTGAATGAAAAAATTCCATACCAAATGCATTTACCAATATAACTTAAAAGCCATAAAGTTATTGAAGAAATGTCTTTTTGTCAAAACTAAATAACTTGATTATTGAATGGTATCCAGATATCTCTCAAACGTAAATGGAACTTTTCATCTGAAAATAGTGTATTAAATGTAAGGAAAATGATAGAATTCCTTTAGTAAATTACATCGGATTCCATTCCGATTGAATGACGATGTCACCCATATGCGAATGAAAGTATCTCCATCCCCCCTTCTCCGCCTCTATGTATGCTCTGAACATTTAGCCTAGTTGAAAATCGTAATATATTTATGAAGTTTCAACTTTGTTTTCCACTATGTCAAAACAAACAAAATGAACTTGGTTACTCTTTTAAAGAATTCAATTTGCTTGAGTATACGGTGCATAGAATGAATCGAAACCGTTTTACCAATAATATACACACATACCAACATAATATATGTACATCACATGTTACATCAAACATTTTCTTCGACCCAGTTTGTGTGTGTGATGATTTTTTTTTTTTTGTTAAGCAAGTGAAGAGTTCACATATCTTTGGGTGAATGTGATTCTCATTACGTGAAATATAGTCCGTGAAATCTGATGACTTGATGAAATTCTTACACCATTGAATATTCAGTTAATTTGAGCTCCGTTCTTTTTGTATTTGGTGCCAGAATTCAAAGTTATCTTAATTTTAAACGACAGTTTTCTCATGAAAGTGAAAAAAACAAAATACGAATATGTACAATTTGCATAACAGAGTTGTCAACAAAACCTTCGTTCAGCTTGATGAAAATAACAACATCCAAATATGAATAAATTTTTGTGACACGTTTCAGGTGAAAATGCAAAAATACGACACAACTAAACGAAAGTGGTGAGTTTGATATGCTTGATACATGTGGGCTTTAATAAATACTATAGAACTGCAACCAAAATCAGTTTGTTTCGAAAATATTTTTCGATTATTCAAGCGTTTAATTCCGAGAATCATGTTAGTTCATTCCAACTGAACGAAAAGGTTTGTTAACAACTCTGTCGATTGAAGGAGAAAAACAGCAACAACCAAATATGCTGTGAAAAAAAGAAATGATCGTGCTTAACACCGGCACATTATGCTACGTACTTACAAATTCAAGTATGCGACTTTTATGAGTGAAAGTGAAATGGGCCACTTTTCAATCTTCATCATACATACATTGCATATAAAATGCTCATACGATTATTTATTTATATATGAAATTAATTAAATATTTATATTGACATTGAGATTGATGTCTCGCTCTTTCTCTCATGTGTGCCTCCATATATCTCTCCTTCTCTCTCTCTCTCTCTCTCTCTCTCTCTCTCTCAAATTCAAACAAATAAACATTCACACCGA